CCATGTCTGCTCAATATACGCACGGCCACCATGAGTCTGTCTTGCGCTCACACTCGTGGCGCACCGCGCAGAATTCATGCGCGTATCTATTGAGCTCACTTACGCCGAACATGCATATCCTAGACGTCGGTTGCGGGCCTGGTACAATCACGGCAGATCTCGCGAAGGTCGTTCCAGAGGGACATATCACTGGTATCGAACGCTCTGCCGAAGATGTCCTCCAGAACGCCAGAGACGAAGCCGCTGCGCAGGGCATCACAAACGTAACCTACTCAATTGGCGATGTCCTGTCTCTCAGCTTCCCCGACAATTCCTTCGACGTTGTACACGCGCACCAAGTTCTCCAGCACGTCTCCGACCCAGTCCTAGCTCTGAAGGAGATGGTCCGCGTCGCCAAACCGGGAGGAATCGTCGCTGCGCGTGATACAGACTTCTCCGCCATGACCTGGTATCCAGAAAGCGAAGGAATATCTCTATGGTAGTCTCACAATTCATGAAGTTGACGATAATCGTTCACATGCATAAAGGCATAAAACGCATATGCAGGTCGCGCGTTCGAATGGCGGGGAACCCGACTGTGGACGGCGACTCCTGTCTTACGCGCTCGATGCAGGAATCCCAAGAAACCAAATCACCGCGTCTGCGAGCACTTGGTGCTACAGCACCCCCGAGGAAGTAGCTTGGTGGAGCTCATCGTGGGCGGATCGCGTCCTCTCGTCTACGTTCGCGTCGGGTGCCTTGGAGCGAGGGTTTGTAACGCAGGAGAATCTGAACGAGATGTCGCAGGCGTGGAGGACCTGGGGTGAACAGCCGGACGCCTGGTTTGCTCTTTTGCACGGCGAGATACTCTGTCGCAAGGTCTAAAATACGCGGGCATGCTTCGAATATGTAATCAAAACGCGTTTTGACTTTTACCCTCATGCATGCCCCAATCTCGGCCAAAGTATGAAAGCATCCATATCTAGTGCCCCTCGTCCCCAGTGTTAATAGCAACTGTAGAAGCAAGAAGCCCGCATAGCTGCTCTCCAAGCTGAGGTCGAGAGCCTCGAAAAAGAACTAGGGTGTGGACGTTTTTTAAAGTACAGATACGCCTTATGGTTGCAACTCCAACTTCTAGAGAACATGAAGACGCAGATGCCATCGTCAAGAAACACATAAAGCTCCTCCATCGATACAATGAGGCGAAAGACGCGACTCAGGTGAATGGACGCGCTTTTTTTGTTCGCATAATCTTTTGCTCAGATCTGCCGCTCTAGATTCTTATTGGCAGAGTGAGCATGCGTTTAACAGACCAGCTGCCTATTTATTGAGCTTCGAAACAGCTTGCGACGCTGAAGGAAACGACTGTTAGGCAGATACACGATGATCTGGACCTGCGCGATAGCGACTGATTTCAGACTTTTGCTGCTGTATTCTAATTAACTGTATTCCATGTCTAATTACTGAACGACAATCCAACTCGTCCCTGAACCTGCCCAGATCCCGACATTTCCGCCCTGAGCTTGCGATGACTCCGCCGGCCATATCTTGATTGGAAGACGAACATCCTCTGTCGTGCCAACACCCAGATTCCCGTGTTCGTTCCACCCCCATCCCCAGACCTCCGTCATGGAAGAATCCAAGACCATGAACGATGCGAGGACATGCTCGCTCCCACACGCTATTTGCAGTAACCGACGCGTCGCCGGAGTGAATGGAAACTCCACGCGGGCAAGAGGTTCGTGATGGCCACGACCTAGCTGGCCGTTGGCGTTGTTTCCGGCAGAAAGAAGCTCCCAAGCGTCTTCGTCGCCTGTGGTGATGTACGTCCCGTTCCAGGTGCAGGCTACGCTCCGGGCGCGCGCAGCCCCGTCGATGCCGTCTAGTTGGCGCTTTCTGTTAGAGCCGAGGCTGGATATTGTCCCAGAGGCGAGCAGGAATACGGTGTGCTGGTGACCCAAAGCGGCGTGTATGATTGCGTCGTTGGACTGTCCTGATGATGATATTAACGTTGGCGATGAAAGGAAGGGTTTCTCGACGTTTCCTAGTTGGCCATGGCGCGAGGTGCCCCATCCGACGGTCAAGTTTCCCGCGGTAGTTTTCAGTGTCGCTACGACATGGTGCTGTCCAGCGGCCAGCGACTCCACAACAAGAGAGGCGCTGTCCAGAGCAACACCATTCTGAGGGAGATGGTCGAATCGAATGACATGGACGTCTTTCGCAGGCAATTTACCCGCCTGTTTTGCACCAATTCCAAGGTCCCCGAAATCGTTCGCGCCCATCGCGACAAGGACATCCGCCATGCCCTGACGCGACAACACCACGTACGTAGTTTCCCAAGACGCAGCGACTAATCGCGGGTGGTATCCCGTCAGCCCATGTCGGTCCAACGCAAGATCGAGAGGTCTGAAAATCGAAGTCTTCTCATCGTTATTATATGAAGGGCCTAGCTGCCCCGATTTGCCATCCCCGCAGCCCCACAACTCAATGTTCTCATTTCCGGCGCATTGCAGGAGGGCTAGCGTATGATTTGCACCAAAAGCCAGGTGCAGAAGTTTGCGGCCAGTTGGGAGACTCCGTTGGGAAGAATTCAAGAAAGAACAGGGTGAAAAGACGTGTGAATCATCCAAAGACATGTTAGATAGTTGGCCGTGTGCATTAGATCCTGCAGAAAACAGCATGCCAAAGCGTCGTGGTGGTTGGAAGCAAGACGAAAGTTTGGTCACTGTTTGTCTCCTGCTTCAAACTTTCATCGGTCCTTGATAGTCCTTAATGCAAGATGGATGGCGACAGATGAACTATGCTACTAGCGTTCGCCCGCGCATAGTTAAATCTCTCGCGTGGCTAATTGCAATCAGCAGACGGCCAACCGTCTCCCGTGCTGCACAACCGATTTTCGGGCTATTTTATTTCACCTTCTCGTTCTTCGTCCGGACCGCCTTCATAACGCTCCCCATCTACCTCTTCTGGTTTTTGTACAGCTACTTCTGGAATTACTGGACGTCATATTTTCCGTGGAACGATCTATTCCTCCCCGCATGGCCTATTTCGCGGACGCGCTTTGTTATTTTGATGGCGACCATTCCGAGCTGGGGGTTGTGCATGGCCTTGGGCATATTACTATTGCCGGTGCTGAAGGTATTGATAACATACTCCACGCAATGGTATGGGAAAAGAAAACGCGGCGGGGACTACGAGATGGCCATGGGTGATATGCCTGCCAATGGCGGAACATCATGGAGGAGAGCCCACCGCGCGCGTCCGGGGCTCCTGCGGACGAGCTACCTACGGTTGGGCTGCTTCGTTGTCTTCGCGTCCATGGCACTCAGCGGAGTGTACATGTTTGAGACGTACGAGGATCCAGCCGACCATCGTTATAGGCCCGATGTCGAAACTGCCGTTCGAGAACCGAAGAACAGTGGCTATTTTAACGGAAGTACGCAGAACTGTCTTCGGTCTATGTCCTTCATACTCATTTCTGTGCAGCCAAGGTCTTCGTCGCGGTCATGTTTCACAACAATATAGATGTTTTACCGCACTGGATCAAAGAATTTACAAAGGTCATTCACTACCTCGGCAAAGTAAGTATATTCATTATTCATGCTCTATCTGTTCATGCCAAGCTAATCTCTCTGGCAGGACAATGTATTCATTTCGGTCGTCGAGTCGAACAGCTGGGACGGTACAGCCGAAATGCTAGACAACTGGAAGGGGACCTTGGACGAGCTAGGAGTACCGCATCTTATTCGTACCCGTGACAACACAATACCGCATCCAGCAGGTACGTTCTCCTATTGTCGATCCCCTGCGTATTGAAACTCGCAAACAGACATGTCTACTGGCATCCCCCGAATTGAATTTCTCTCCGCCAACCGCAATCTGGCACTGGCACCGCTCATGGAGCACGGCGGTTACGACATCGTCCTGTTCAGCAATGATATTTTCATAGAAGCGGAATCGGTGGTAGATCTTTTGAAGACGAAAGATGGCGAGTGGGACATGGTCTGTGGATTGGATGTCGATAGATGGGGGTAATATCTTTTTTCTAGTTTTATCCTCCCGCTCTTACCCGCTCTCCAGTCTCTACGATGCCTGGGTCGTGCGTGACCGCCTAGGCCGTCTTGTTTCGTCTCTCTGGCCGTACTTTTTGGAAGACGCCGGTATGGAGGCCGTAATGAAGGATGAGCCCGCACCTGTCTTCGCATGCTGGAACGGAATCGTCGCTTTCCGTGCAGACCCCCTGCTCCCCATCTCCCTCCGCACGCCCGGGCGCCTCTCCACGTCCCCACTTTCCCGCCCGCTCCCCGAAACGCACCCCGCACATCCCCAGCCCGCATCACTCACACCGGCTCTGACGCCCCCGATCAAGTTCCGCCTCTCGACCGACAAGGAATGCTTCTCATCCGAGTCTTTCAACCTCCCGTACGACCTCCGCCGGCAGTTCGACATGCAACGCATCTACATGAATCCACGCGTGATCAACAGCTACCATTGGAATTACTATGTGTGGTTCAAGTATATCACGCGGCACTGGATGGTGCAGTGGTGGATGAAGAACGTCGAGGCGGGCAATGGGATGCAGTTTGCGAAGATGGTTATAGGAGATGCAAAGCGGGTGTGGACGTGGGACGGCGGCGAGTGCCATCCGGTATGTCTGCCTTGCCTTTCGTTCTGTCTGTGGCTTATTTCTCGCTTGCAGTGGTGGTAATAAAAATTACTTATTCGTACTGTGGCGACTTATACCTGTATTGTATGCGATCTGGGTTTCTAATGAATGATCATAGCTCACTGTATTTCTTTCCTCTGGCTTACGCCTCGCGAGCACTTGAATTTCGTCGGATCTTGTTTGGTAACAAATGGCGATTGCACTTGAACAATTTTGAAAGAAAAATAATGCCAAGAAAATAATGCCCGAAGGCTGCCTAGTGGGGCGAGGCAATCGCCGAACGATGAAGTGAACTCAGTGTACCCCGGCGGCGCAAATCAAGGGCGTGTGACGGCCCGACCCACAGCGTCCCTGGTGCCTCCAGAGGGAATCGAACCCTCGACCTCTCCATGGGACGTCTCCCACATCGAACGGCTGTTGCTGCAGCAGGCTAACCAACTGAGCCATGGAGGCACGAAAACATACACCATAGCTTTGAATATATGCCACGGTATCTGGCCGACCTAGTGGCGTCCTCGCTGTGATTCGCTCATAGATTCATCGGATTCATCGAGCAGGTGTTGGATGTGGCCCTCTGGGAGCAATTGCGCTGAATACTTTTCTTTCAACTTTATTGGCCGGTCCATATCACAAGCACTGACCTGATAATTCCTGCGACGCGAATGACGTCAAACCCGGCTTTCATTAATTAATTTCTTTTTTTTTTTTGTGCGGCTGGGTCAAGGCTCGCTCCTTTAGGCTTGATATTTCTGATGTCGGCTCGCCGGCCCGGAGAGTGGCTCTCTTCCGAACCTCACATGCCTGCTTTTCGTCAGGTAAACATCGCCTCTGGTCTCGGTCGCCCCAACAGATTTAACTGAATCTGTGGTTTTTTGTATGCTCGAGTCCATTCGCAAGTCGAGCTTGAACTCTTTGTAGCCGAGTGCGTACGCCGTGAGGTAAGTAGTCTGGCGTATTCTGTATATTCCATACATCGGGAATTCTTCAGAGCTCGTTCTACGCCGCCGTCAGTTTGAAACCAATTTCCGTCCATACGATTCGCGGTGAAGCACTGGCCGTGGCCAAGAGTTAAATAATTTACCGGCTGAGGGGTGACGAGAACGGACCCAGTTCAATTTCGATTTTTTTTTTAAAAACGCCACATCCCCGCCCGGTGGCAGCGACTTCCAGCCATGTTTTTTTTTTGCAGAACAAGTTCCCGCGGCGCAGCGCCTTTCGGGCCCGCATAAGTACATACTCCTCCCACGAATAAGGATGCATGCGCAATAATCAATTCCATTGAACTGCCAGTGATTCACACCCCACCTAAATGACACCTTCGCATGATCCGTTCGAGTGTTAGCCATCCCATCCCATCTGCATCACGATTAGTATTGCAATAGCCACGACCAGTCACCACCATCACGATTAGCCATGCCGCGCCTGCGCCGAATCCACACTCGAGACTTCAATCAAGCGATAGACATCGTGCACACGCATGATCTGCGTCTGAGCGCGCGTTTAGCGCGTTTTGGTATCGCATGTTTCAAGCGCCACTGGCAGGGAAGGGGATACAGTGACATCAGGCAGCCAAGAGACTCAGGGAGGATGCAGAGTGATAATTACAGCATGCAATGAATGGCCGGACTACATGAACATGAACAATCGATAAAAATATGCAGGATTACACGGATGGATTATGCTGTACGACGGGTGGTTACGACGATGGAAAGCTTGAATGAAGGTACGACATGAACATGAGAGCAGAGTTCAAACACATGAATGGATGAATGAATGATTATAAGATTAAGTGTGATTCCTGGAGGTGAAAGCGCATGAGCATGTCCTTGATCCCAGCTAGTACGAATTTGGTTGACTTGGTATCCTAGGTGAAAAAAAAAGATATGTCAGCGCACGTATTCGGGGGTGTCATGATGGTGGAGGCGTAGCAGCCAGCCTACGAACAATCGCATTCGTGAGATGACAATAGAATATCCTGGGCACCGGGGAGTTTTGCTTTAGTATCGCATCTGATGCAAATGAAAGTCAGTGGGAGGCAACACAGCAAGCCGGTGCACGCACTGAATTGTTTCTTTAAATCTGGACCAAGTAAATGAAATCAGCTCCACAAGACGTGGGAAAAAGAGAGAAAGAGCGTACATCGCGAAGCACTGTCGAAATCATTAGGTCGCCTGCCATATGAATCGACAAAATCGGAGAGCCGTATCCCCGACGCGAGCTTGGCGTGCATGATATCCACCTTGTTCAGGAAGAGTATCATGTTTGTGTGCTGCAACAGCTTGTTCGACACAATTGACGTCCAGAGCTTGTACGAATCCGCCTGGAGAAGGCGATTTTAATCTAGTTTAGAACGAAGAAGGTCATCATAAAACAAATATCCACGTACCAGGCGGTTGACAGTTGGCTCCTCTGCCAGCGTCTGGTCGAATGCGGATATTGGAGCGAGGAAGATGATAGCGTCCATATCGTCGAAATAGCTGACCCAGGCATGGCGCTAGAGACGTGATTGTTGTTAGCGGGTAAATCAGGCCGGACCGGGAACAAAAAGTCGTACCAACGAGCGTGTCCCGCCGACGTCGAAAATGCGAAAATCTCGGCTCATGCCTCCGGCTGGAAAGGATGATTATCAGGGCCATAATTTTTCCGGCGGAGGTTACTTACTGGGATCAGTGAGTCGCATGCGATGCTCAGATACACCCTAAAACGAAGAAAATTAAGCGGCTTGACGCGAAGGAGACCGAGGGGTATACCAAAGTCTTCAGCCGAGCTCTCAAAATGTGATCTGTCATGTCGTTAGTGAAAAATGAGAAAATTCAGGTACGACGTAGATGACGCACCGTCGGTAGGTACGTATCGGAGGGACGTTACTTCGTCTAAGGAATCCAGAAAGCTGTGTTCGGTGAGCAAGGTTGAGAGAAAGATATGCAAAGAAAGACGCACAAGCCAGCGAGCTCCTGTAATCGGATAGATTGCTTCTCTAATATCGCCTGAACCGTAGGGTGCGCCCAAAGCCGCTTCATGTCGTCATTACGGGCATGAAGTAAAACCCCAGGGTCCTCGGGGTCGTCCCAATCTATGAGGTGGTCGGTATCAAAGCTCTGCCTGTCCTCTGCCATCCGTGTGAAGGCGGCCTTCCAGGCAACGGTCGAGTTGACCGCGATCTCCCTGGACTGCCTCCGCCTTGACGTTGTCAGCGGCCGCTCGGTCGGCTCCCATTCTGTCGACCCCGGCAGCGACAGCCGTTTCAGGAGGCTCTTCTCGATGTCGAGGAGGGGGTGAAGGCGCGTTTTGAGTTGTACGAGCTCCGCGTCGAGGCGGAGTGATTCGTGTGAAGAGACGCTTGACCGCGCACTGGGCGGACGGTCTGTGGTGTTTTGGGCGCGGGTGATCGCGTCGAGAATAATGTGCATCGACCGGACAACATTGAGCTGGATAATAGCGCGCCACGAGGCGCGTTCGGCACGGAAGGCCTATCGGACATGATAAATTGGAATTTTGCTATCTTTTAGATTAAAGGCGCACTTTGGGCTCATACATTAGCTGGAAATCTAGCAGCAGAGGTTAGTGGGGGCGGAGGGGAGCCAGAGAGACAAGTCTGCATACTCTTCAGCGTCGTAGATTTGCCTTGACATTATTTCAGTCCGGATGAAACCCGCTAGCAAAAACAACGGACCTGATTCGCTTTGGCCTAGCGTCACGAGTGTCAGGGATGGGCTGAGACGTTGGGAAGCGGGCAAAGACGCACCCAGCAGGAGAATTTTGACTGGCTTCGGCCGCTTCTTCTCGTGGGTCTGTTCCCGCGTCAGCTCGGCATCGATGGCGTCGGAGACCTGTTTCGCGGCCCTCTCTTTCTGCAGCCTGATTTCCCTTTCCTCTGGGGACTCGTTCTGGGGCGGGGCTATGGCATTGGCAATAGGATCCGAGTCCTCCATATTTCTCCTGGGCACTCTGGCGGGCATTCAGAGCAAAATGGGGCGCAGACAGCAGGGGAGAATAAGAGGCGGAGTGGGCGGACAGGGAATAGGACCTGGTCAAAATAAGGAATTGGTGAAGCATTCGAGTGTTTTGACGTATGACAGTTAGGTTTGATTAAGTGACAGCCACAAGGGGTTTCAACTAAGGTTCAGCCTCCGGACCAAGCATCGCTCCGCACCGGCGCCCCGGTAATTCTCTCGGACATAATTCTCTCGGACAAAGTGTCAAAACAGGAAAGATCTTCAAACTCATTTTCCGCTCTTGCAGCGCTTGGTGGCACAAATTGTGCAGTGAGAATGTTGAAGGAAATAAGTAACAAAATCCCATAGAGGTACGTGTATAATATTTTGCAATGCCCTTATTGCGATTCCTGCTCATTTCGCTCCCATCAATTCTTGACCCAATTCGGCGTATGAGTGGCTGACTTAAATTTATCCCTCCAGAATATTCAGCTTGATGCCGGCGCACAGGCCTTGGGATGGCATCACTTCGGCCGTTTCTTCGAGTTTGCCTTGACTGCGCGGCTTCCTCGATGGCCGAAAGGTGCCGACCCAATGCCGAACCTCGGCGCGACTCGCTGCTTGATTTGGCACCACTCAATGTCACGCCGTGACTTCTAGCCTCCAACGCAACCGCCGGAATCATGCTCTCTCTTTCTTTCAATGGCAGAAAGTTCCCAGATTTCTCTCCAAGAAACACACGGAATCCTTGGTCTCGTAGGACCAGTCGTCGACGACCTTGCTTCCCAAGCACTGCATTTTGCACCTCCAGATTTCAACAAATCTCCACGACAATCCTATCATGTTACGCTACTATCCGAGGATGAGCTCACCCCAGACCGATTAGCGAAATCTGCTTCAGTCAATACCAGCGATGTCATGGCCTTGGGTCTCGGTGGAAACCCCAACGTATTTTTTGTTGTAATAGTTTGGGCCGCTGGCCAGCTATTCCGCAAGCAACTCGGTCTGCCGCCCAAGCAGTTCTACATCACCCTGTCTCCTCAGGACGACTATGACTTGGACAAGGGCGTTGATTCGCTTTTACCGGGCCAATTCCCCGCCTCCCCTTCTCCTGACCTGCTAGATCACCTTGTGTTCACGCTCCACCTCTCGGGCTTGTTTCAACAGGCGCAGTCCTACTGCGTCCATCTCGTCCGTGCGTTTCCCGACTCACATCGCGGTTTCCTGAGACTTGGCGACGCCGCGCTTTCTTTGCACGAATACAAACTCGCAATGCTGTCTTACGGGCGCGCATTTGAGCGCTCTGAAGACGAGCGCATCCACGACTACTGTCTCAAGAAGCTGCTGGAATGCGCAAAGCAGACCGAGTGGGGCTCTGTACTACAAAAGGAAGAGTTAACTCAGATTCCCGATGCCATCGCGGACATTCTCCTGGCGCCCTGGTCCCCTGCGTTGCGTAGCCGACTCGGTGACATAGATTTTGTACCAACCCTGCAGCTCGAGTCTCGGCTCCCATTG